AACGAAAATATAATTCTTGAAGTAACTGAGACATATATATGTAACGTACCCGTATCGGTTATTGTAAACGAAGAACACAGAGAGAGATAAAATCATGAATAAGTAAAAGGAGATTATTGCAACGTTTAACAATAGAATAAAGAGAGAGAGAGAGAGAGAGATTAAATTTTAACAAGTAACAAATGGAGATTGTTTTAAAAATAACATTAAAGGCACAAAGAGAAAGAAATACAAATTTTATTTTGAACATACTACATTAGAAAACTGGGCGCTTTTTCCATAGTGAACAGAACGCTGAGAAAATTTAGTTCTATACATAAAATTAAATGAATATGACGACGTCATAAATTTTATAATTTGATTTTAACTTTTCTCTGATGCCCACATAATCTATGCGATTTTTGGCGTAGTCTTATGGCCCAAGAAACTTGCTGTTCCTGGAGCTGGAAATATTAAAATTAAATTCAGTATACTCTAACATAGAAAAAGCGCGAAAAAAGTTCAACGAAAGAGCTTTCTGTGTTAGAACAAGAACAAGTGCACGTGCACCGTAGAAACAGAGCCAGATATGGGAGATAATGATTCATTTTTTGTTTACAGAACGGCTAATTAAAAATCTGCGCATATCTCAAAGAATTCAAACGCTTGCTACAAGAAAGTCAGGCATAATTTTCTCCGCATTTTGAAACAATTTGGGATCCTCTTTTCAGTCCTGATTACACCATGTTTTATTCAGACTTTTCTTCAAGAACATGATGTAATCGGCTCATCAGGTTTAACATGAAATGTGAGTTTCATCATTTTCGGTGATTTTTGTGGAAAAATATAATTTTTATCTCCCCATCGTCACTCCTGCACAGTGATGACTAGGCAGTAGTCACTTGGTGTCATCACGCTCATTTCACTCGTACGTAAAAGCAGGTTCCTTTTTTGACTCATCGCAAATCGTTGTTCCTTTTTCCGTCTGGTCACTAGTAATTGCTCAACTATCATGAAATAAAGTGTTAGTCATATTTATGATTCGATCTTCAGAGGCAATCACTTATCCTCTTGTTAGTTGTCTTAGAGCATCATGCAGAAAGACATTTTACGTCACAATTCTGTGGTTTTCATTCCGTATGAAAAGAGAAAGTTATAAAGTAGATTGTCAATTCTAAAACTATTTGAAACCTTGAACACGCCGAAACAGACTCACCTTTGTTGAAAATAATTCAACCATTTCAAGCACTAATCATAATATTTTTGTATGACTCCCTAGGCTATATTGGAAAAAACCAAGGAGAAAGCTGTGTTTAGACATTTTTCATCGATGATTATTTATTAATCAATGAAAAGAAAGATTATTTTATTACTAACATTCGTTTATGTCTGTGTCGTTTATTGTAGAGCGACACCAAGTAGATTGAACCCGACGAAACAGAGTACTGATCTCAACTCTCTATATGTATAGTGTTGCATTCGGTTTTGTGTCGCCTCTTTTCATTTATAAAATAGCTGTCTGTGGCTACATCACATTTGTTGCATCTGCGTACAGCTACTTGGTTAAGTCTCCACTACCGGTTTGTAAAAACCGCAAATCTTTATCTCTTTCTGTTTGAACATTATTCAGCGCACCAACATTCATTTGGTTTTTCTTCTAAATAGCATCTATGTATAAAAGGGCAGTTTTACCCGCTGAGAACTTATAAACTTTGCCCAAAATACTTTACTCATTTAACAACTGATCATAATTATCCATGTGCTTCTCAGCTTTATCCAAATGAGCATTCTCTATCTGCTATAATCGTTGTTTATCATAGACAACGATGAACAAACAAACTCTTGTTTTTGTGCTATATTGTTATTTAATTGGTAATCATTGGTGCGTGCAAGATGCTGTACTTCAGTGGAATGCTGTTATGTTACAAGTGAGTGCTAATGACTTAGATCCGACAATTGTTTCATTACCAGACCAAAAATCTTCCACACAAGCATCACGTGCATTTGCTATTGTTCATGCAGCAATTCATGATGCGGTAAATACGTTCTCCAAAAAGTTTCAACCGTATTTATCGTATGAATCAAGCCGAGGAATTAAAACTAATAAACAACTCCAGCAAGCTGTGGAAGCAGCGATTGGTCAAGCAGCTAACGATACATTGTGTCAACTTTATCCAAAACAGAAATACTTAATTACCTTTGCACTGCAAAGTTTTCTTCAAGGTATTCCAGCAGGCAGAGCAAAACGAAATGGTATAAAAGTAGGACGAAAAATAGCTAAGAAAATATTAATTTCAAGAGAAAACGATGGCTCAAATCAAACAATTACTTATACGCCTATAAATGCTGTAGGCTATCATCAAGAAGATCCACTTCATCCAAACCAAAATTTTTCAGTTCCTTATTGGGGAAAAGTTCGTCCATTTGTATTAAAAAATGGTGCACAATTTCGTGCTTCAGCCATTGTTGGGACAACAATTCAATCAAGACTGGCATATCTTAAAACATCTACCTTTTTATCAAACTATAATGAGGTTAAAGCTATTGGAAGTAAAACTAGTAGTACCCGTACAGCTGATCAAACAGAAATTGGAATATTCTGGGGCTACGATGAGCAACCAAAAATTGGATCATCACCAAAACTCTTCAATCAGGCTACACGAGCGATTGCCATGACAAAAGGGAATACATTAATTGAAAATGCTCGTCTTTTTGCACTTATTAATATTGCACTGGCCGATGCATCAATAGCCTGCTGGGACAGTAAATATTATTATTCATTTTGGCGACCAATAATTGGCATTCGAAATGCGAACAAGATTGGCAGTAAGAAGCTTGTTGAAGATCCTAATTGGGAGCCGTTAGGATCCGCAGTTGACTTTGGAAACGCTACACAGTTCACACCACCATTTCCTACATATACTTCATCACATGCAGCACTAGGCGGGGCAACATTTCAGATTCTACGAAGATTTTATGGCACAGATGATATTGCATTTCAGTTTCAGTCCGATGAATACGATGGTGAAACAATCAATGATAAAGGTAAAACTCGTCCAGTACGTATTCGTCAATACAAAAGTTTAACACAAGCAGAAAAAGAAGTTTTTCATAGCAGAATTTATATTGGGGTTCACTGGCGATTAGACCAAGAGCAGGGACAAAAACAAGGTACACAACTGGCAAATTATGCGTTCGATAAAATCCTTCTGCCGAGTTAAAAGACTGATACACATATCCTTTTATAATATAACCGACGTATCTTTTACTGAAAGACTGCAGACCGAACTTCTACATCAAAAAGCATAGCAGTATAAACGTACAATATTCTAGTAATAATTTAACAGACGAGCAAGCATTATCAGCATAATCTGTAATTTGTTGTAATATTCTTTGTTGCGTTTTGTGTGGCCTCATTAGCTTTATATACAGTTCTCTATTTATATACAATCTCCTCGAGAATCAGCTGCTGTATTTTCAGCTGCTGTAAGAATTTTTCTGTCACAAAGTTGGCCAGTATTTCAGCACCTTGAGAAGTGTGGACATCTTCGCACCGTCCTTGTGTATTACTTGTCTTTTTTTGGAACTCATGTGTTGCACCTTGATGAATGCACATGAATAGGAATATTTTTATCTTTCGATTTTTCTAGTCCGTATTCATAATGGGTTGGATCTCTGAATTTAGACTTACCCGAATATGATTCATCGCTCTAAGGTCTTATATCACTTTCTATTGCTGCTGTATATTTTGCTGTCGCATCTTCTATTAAAATGACCTGATAAATTCCATTTGGATGTTCATGTTGTTGAACTGCGTGCCATAATCCATTTCAATCGCTTCTTCATAATCACCACCACCCTTGGCAAAAAATTTTCCAATAAACTGCTTGTCTTTATTTCCCAAGAAGAACTCCAAACAATTCCATCTTTACAATCGTAGTCTCTAAAAAGACTCATTCATAAAGACATTACTGGACACACTAACATTAGATGCCATACAGTCCGGTCTCATGACTTATATCCTAATCGGGATAAAATCCCGATCGGCTTATACGATATATCCTGAACGGGATACAAATCCTGATAGGGATATTCTGCATAGCCCGATCAATCTATAAAAACAATAAATATTGTTTTGGGGACCCATTTTATACTTTAATAAAAAACGAACAATGCCATTCGAGAGAGGATTCAAAACCGATTCAGATTCATTGAGGATCAGCTATAACGCATTGTTCAAAGTACTATATAAAAGTCAATGAAAACTCGCACATCCTGATCGGGACATAAAATATACCCTAAATCCTTGATTTTTTCAAAAAACTTGTGTTTTGGGAAAACGTAAAAGCTGATTACTCGGATCCAAAAGCACCATCGGATAGAGCACTTAAAACTGCTTATAAATTATTGAGGATCTCCAAGTACCGGATGAGGATCCAAGTACCGAAGGGTTTTGTCAATGTGCTAATATAGGCTGCATAAACACTTTTGTCGCTCTGCTGTTTTTGTCGATATCTGTTGTGAAGCAAACCTTGTGAAATATAAAGTCAGTTGAGAACGAAATATGGTCGTCCTCTAGCCTATCATATTTGAGTAAGAAGGAAAAAAATTACATTTATTGAATTTAGTTACATAAACTCCTTCATAGTCTCTGTTGTATATGATTACTAAATTCTTTAATGCCTAAAAGGCAACATTATCGACAAAAATGTGCCAATAATTTGCACAATGAGTCGCACGGAGATGCGTTACATGTTTTGGTTCCAGTAAACTACGATAAACAAGTCTCAAAGTCAGTGTTTTTAGCTATTATTGACTTCTAATAATGAACCAAACTAGAGTTTTCCTACATATTGGAGAGTCTTGAGATAGTAGCTGAAAATACTAATATTCTAGAATGATCAG